AAATCTTCATAAAAAATATCGGTAATCGTTGTACACGCGTTTCAGATTGGTACCATTCTGTTTGAACAGGATCAACAGCATTGTCGCGTATAAGGTGCTTTGCGTACGTCTGACAGAGATAGAAGCAGTCGACGTCCGCGTGTCGTCCCATTGCAAAGTATTGTACTTTCTTATCGCGTCCTGCTTGTCGCCACGTCATCAAAGATGAAGATGGAATTCGGAAGCGCCTCGCTCGGTGGAATGACGCTGTTATTGGAGAATGTAAAATAAATGATTTCCTCGATCGGTGCTAACAAATTCGCCAAGTGTCGATATTTCAGTTGTTGCAGCAATTTCGAGTATATGTACACGTTCTCGAATCGTACGCCGTGCGTACTTTCCAACAGACTTATCAGCACGTTCTTGCCGCAATTTGACAGTCCGCAGACAACAGCACGTATAAATACCGATAGCATGTCGCCATATTTATGCATCTCTTTATCGATTTGTACTTTGCCGTCAAGATTCGTCACTTTGATCACCCGCGACTGGCGCAGAAACTACATATTTTCTCTTTCCATAAAATACTGAAAACGATATCGCGAGTGGGTCTATTTATAAAACGAAATCAATCAATCAAAATATTTCTCGTCGTATCGGATAATCTGGACAGTTTAACCTCAAAAGAACTGGAATACATACCGAAAATTGTACTGCTGCGAAAGTTAAAAATTGCATAGACCTATTGTGGAACAGATTATCAGACATATACGAGCAGATTCGGAGGTATGACAATACCGTCGATGCCTGAAGCATTACAATTTAGTTGTCAAATGGTCCGGCACCTTTGATAAAGAATTGCAGTAAATGTCATCGAGAGGTTTGTTAAATTGTGCGATAAACGCGCTTCCTTTTGAACTACATATTCCCGGATATCAGTTTTGCGGTTCGGATACGCGATTGGAAAAGCCATTGGCTAGATATGATCAAGGAATTAATTCATTGGATGCTCCGTGTCGCGAGCATGACATAGCGTATTTGCACAGCAACGATCTCGCTGAACGACACGCGGCTGACAATATACTCGCCGAGAAAGCGGAGAAACGCATTATCGCGAGTGATTCGACTCTCAGAGAGAGAGAGAGAGAGAGAGAGAGAGAGAGAGAGAGAGAGAGAGGGAGGGGGAGAGAGAGAGAAGGGGGAGAGAGAGAGAGAGAGCCGCAGCTACAGCAGTTTGGGCAGCTATGAAGTCCAAAACGAAGATTGGTATGGATTTAAAAACAAGAAAGAAGAAGAGCAAGCGGATACTTCCGACAGCGGAAAGCGGCGGCGTCTGCCTGTTCTACCGCTGCTCGGCATTCTCAGGTCATTGGTCGGTGGAGCCAAGGCAGTAAATGATAATAAAGCGGAGAAGCGTTAGCTGGAAAAATTGTAACGTCATAATCGCGTCCTGGAAAGCCGCGGCGTTTATCTCGCTCCTTACAAGCGTAAACAAGGTATCGCGTATAGAAAAAAAAACATCGATAAAACGTTAAAAATGCCAAAGGGAGTACCGATGTGCAACTGCAACAACTTGCAAATTATATGCTTATTCCGTATTTTAGAGGCATCTTCATACGTATTATATTACCGATCGAAGAAGTACATCAAAACGAGAGCGGTATCGTAAATCTGGACAATACCGAAGGACTCGGTACGCATTGGATAGCGTATGCGAAAAGAGGAAATCGCGTTATGTACTTTGACAATTTCGGCAATCTTCGACCGCCGAAGGAACAGTATCTGGCAAACAATTAATCGGTAAATCGAGTACAATCGCACGTCTCATCAACGTTACAGTTAGAACAATTGTGGGCTTTGTCTACAGTTTCTACGAACGGTTGACAAGCAATTTAAGGACCTACATTGCGCTGTTTAACTCAGTGCTTTGAAACATGTCGCTGACGTTTACGCTGACCAGTAAGAGTAGCGTCCTCGCCGTGAGCTATTTTCCATCGATAGATTTGGGTGACGGCGATTACGAACTCGGTTTGACAGACTTTGAAACGTACTATACTCTAGCCAATGTAAATTAAACAAAAAACAAGTTTTACTATGGCAACGAAGAAATTGTCATTCCCAAAGGATCGAACTGATATATAGCGATATCTAGAAGTGTGAGATGCTGTGTTGAACGAAACAGATGAGAGATACACCTTTTACTGGAAAGACTACACCTGGTATGAAACTCACTGCGTCCAACGTTGCATTCTTAAAGTCGTTGGATTTCATCGTACGAAATGGCTGATATCCTGAACATTACTGGTGAGCCGATCTTTGATGATCGCATCGTCAAAGTTGAGACTCACACGTACAATCCATACGCCACGTTTGGACATAGCGACAAGATACAGATACAACAGCAGGATTTGTACACGTTGTCGTGTGACAGTTTTCTCTATATCGAAGAAAGATTGACGGTGAAGAAAAAAAACGATCAGATGTCGACGATGTTGGGAAATAATTGTAGCGTTCATGTTTGATGAAATTCGATATAAACTCAACAGTGTGGAAATTGATCGCAACAAAAATGTTGGAATTACCAGTATCATCAAGAATCACTATATATCAATGACGTATGACAAAGCTTTGATTGCCCTGAACGTAGGATAGAACTCTAGATCCGACACGGAGGAAGGATACTTTAATTTTTACGTATCGCTCAACATGCTGTTGGGCTTTTGCGAGGATTACAAATGAGTGGTTGTCAACGCTCGCCATGAATTGATTTTGATACGAGCGCGCACAATTGCTTGATGGAAAATCCTGTGATGGAGCCTGAGATTGAATTATTCAAAGTGCAGTGGCGGATGCCTCACGTTGCGTTAAACGACATCAATGCTGTGAGTATTGGAAAATCGTTATCTGAGCATGAGTTTTTACTCGTGGGATCTGTACGAGTATCCTCTGTTATAGAATACGACCAAGCATTTATCCAGCGGACTCCCACAATTCTTTTCTTTCGCGGAGATCTGGAATTCATTGAAATAAAGAGACAGCTGTGAATAACAAACAAGTTGAGTGTTATAACTTAAGAGAAGACTAAAAATTTTCTTTTTTCACACTAAAAATTAAAACAAAGAATCTCTTCGTCCATGTCACTCCAATATATTATAAATCAAAAATTGGTGCATGTGCACGAGCGGCGGGACCAAAAGGATATCGAATCTGTGTCCCTCGGACACTGCGGCTAAAATAATAATAAATATGTCATTGGAAACGTAAGATCGGTGCCAAGATACTTTTTAACAGTCAAGTCGCGGACGATTTTCACGTCCGTAATCACAAAATTTAAGAAGCGACACGCGATGTTCAGGAGTAGATTCTGGGTGATCTCGTGCCGACGCTGTACGTGCACTTTCTTGACGCACTGTACGTGCGTTTTCCCATAAATATTAAGATCATAAAATTTAGGAGAACACTTTTCCACACTATAGACTCCGGTCAACATCCTTTCCTCCCCCAAAATCTTGACCAATCCGAGAGTAAAGAAAAATCCTACTACTAATTAACGAAACCTATTCCATCAATTCGAACCTGAGTAATCGAGAGTGATTAGTATCAAAACCGCGGTTCCGCGGCCCTTAACGTGTTTTTCTCTGAGTTTGGAAAGCTGTAATTGTCAGGATCTTCGAAAAAGGCTTCATCCGATTTTCGAAGCCTTTTTCTCCAGTAGAATCAGTGCAAAATCATACTATCAACTTAAGACGGCATTGCTTGATCGGGGAAATTGACGAAGCGGACCTGGCGCTCAGCATTCCACAGTCGACGGCACCCTCTCCAACGGTCTCTCGGGCACCCTATATATCGCTATCGCTAAGTAGTAAGTTTTCGCTGCAGTACACTAGGTGGTCCCTTCTCTTCTTGTGGTCCCTCTTTAAAGACGACCAAATTTTTAGTGCGTTCACGCAGTTCTTCTGTCCCTCATCACCGTCATCTAGTGGGGACTAATAACGCGCGCCGACTCATCGCCTGTGTCCGCTCTAACATCACGCAAAACTCTCGAGAACAATCTCCGCTAATTCAGGCATCAGCCAAGAACAGATTCCGGTTGTTCAGTTCCACCCTTGACTGCATCACCGCTACTAGAAATTTTTTACTCCCCTGTCTCCGATCTGTCCCCAGACTTCTTCAATGACCTCTTCCCGTCTAGTCCTCCCCCTGTTTCACATCCGATATCACACCCCCACTTGAGGAATTTTCCGTCTCACATATTACCTCCTCAATTACTTGTGTTCGAACTGACGCTTACTCTCCCGCTAGTCATCTTCCTCTCTTCTTTCATAAGACATTACTTAAAACAGTTTTGAAATAAGAATTCATTATGAATACCGTAAAGTCATATTTATAAGAGAAGCGCGACTAACGTGTTCTGATAGATCATTGCAATCACATAATTAGCACACAGCCAATCATAAACTTATTTCTGTGTATTAAAAATAGCTGCTGATCATAGTCCGTCTTGCAAATAACGCCACTTTTAATACTTTTTCTAGTACTTTTTAGTACTTTTGCGATACTGACATAAATCGGTCGTGCTTCTCTTATAAATATAAAACTCTAGTATGATGTTGTGAAACTGGAAATCACATGAACTTGGAAATGCGCGCCAATATATCAATACCAATTTCGATAAGAATCTTGACAGCAAGCTAATATTAGGTCGCTTCTTATATACTGTCATATAGGGTACCTATAATAAGAGTAAGGTCAACATGGTAACGATCGGTGATTGGCCCGCCAAATTAAGGCAAAAGCGGAGGTTGCGTGCCCATGTGTACTATCAGTGTACACTCACCGATTAAAAAATTGCAACAGATTTTTTCCTATGGTTTTTATAGTACTTACGAATCCGTAAGTAAGGACCAATCGCTCGGTGAGTAGACTGCATTCCGAAACTCATTAAAAAAAAAAGTATTACATCTTTTAGTCGGTGAGTGTACATACGGTGTACACCATTTACACTACCATTTCGAGCGAGTTTTCTATGTGTTAGAGATGAGTGGTTCGTTTGCTAGTCATTTTATTCGACGAGTCATTCAAATTGAAAAGGAGAGGTGAGTGGCGAGTAAATTGCAGTGGAATTATATATTCTTTGAAATAAAAACGTGAATTTCTCGTTATTATAATTTAACTTATTTGTTTGTTGGCATATAAGAACTATAATGCCTGATTGTGTAACAGATTATTGCATAAACTCTGCCAAAGAAGGGTTTTAAAATATGTCGTTTTCACGAGACTGCCAAAAAGACCAAAAATTTGTGCTGAAGGTACAGGACGACAAGACAACTCGTCTAATATTTCAGTGTTATGTGAGGTTTGTAAGAATTTACTTTTGTGATTTTTTTTAATATAAATCAATTATTAATGTATATTGTATTATTTAAGGTACATTTTGATGCAAAAATGAAGATAGAGAGGAGACATAATTATATATTGATTTATTACTTTTATTATTATGCAATTCTATTCCTCATTAGTTATGTTTTGAATGTAAAGTGACAAGTTGAATATATACTATAATAAAATACTTATATATATCTAAAAAAAATTAAATATACTTTTAATTAATACTTCTAAAATCCTATTTTTAAGTTCATTCATTTTTATACTGTTTATTTCTAAATAAATTTCACTTTCATTCTATTTGTATTTACTTCTGTTATCATGCTTCTTTAATTTATTCATTATAAAATTATTGGCTCTCTCCCTCTGCGTTCTTCAACAGAACATTTATTTTGCAATTGTTGTAAGTTTTCTTCGCGCTGATTGAGATGTATTTTTAGATTTAGAGGAAGTCTTATCTCAGCAGCATCACATTCATAAAATGGTTGCGTTCTGCTAACCGCACTCATTGTTATATATACAATTTCAGTTTTACATTTCACATTTGAAAATGCGCGCGCGTTTCGATGCATTTCCAGTTTTGTCTCATTCGCGCTATTGGCCGTACTCTTATAAGTATTCTATTCTCTTACTTTCATATTCGATTTTCTCACTCTCATCACTTCTCACATCCGGTCTCACATCAACATGCACAGCCAATCACAGATCGAGTCGGCATTGGTCGATCTCTACTTTAGAATCTCTAAACCTGCCCCATTAAAAGGCAAATTCAAATATACTTTAGATTTTTCTATTATATTTAGATGTTTCTATTATAAAAAAAATTTATATTTTATGTTTCACACGTAGAATTAATTTAATTGTTACTAAATTTGTGATGTATATTGTGTTTGTGCATTATTATTATTGTAAAGGTTTACATAAATATTAAAATGTAATATTTGATAATAAATCTATATAATGATAATAAATATTGAAATATTTAAAGACGAAAGACAAGATTATTTAATTTTATTTTAAATAAATAAGAGATAAAATGTGATAACACAGATTAATATAATAAAAATAGGTTATATTATATAAATTAAAAAACAATTTATAAAAATGAAATGGAATTGCACATAAATTTTATTAATATAGAGCATTAAATAAGAAATTAAATTAATATTTGAGACTTTTTATCACGACAATTAATGTACGATATAATTATCACTCGATGTAGTATTAATATAACGTATGAAATATAATTATCGTACATTTACTTCATAGTAATAAAAATACATATTAAATTAAATAATTAAATAATATATTACAAATAATTCAACACGTGATATAATCTCAAAAAATACGATTAACAATTTTTATATAAAATTTATATCAAATATGTATTATGTTACATGTATATACATACAGAGAGGGACATTTAAAACAAGTCACCTGAATAACTCACTTGTTTTTAATAATAGAAAAAAAAGTGTCAAATAAAAGTTGCTTGGTTTTATAAGGGGTACATAATGTAATGACAATAATTGTTTTCTAGGTGGAGACGTAAAGGATAGGCAAAGGTAAAATCTGTTTTTTTTTTTAATGGAATATGATTTTTTTACTTACATTCTGATAGAACATTTTAAGACGAATACAATGACCTATAATTGAAGATCATTCAAGGTTTCGCAAACATAATGTCAATAATGGAAAATAAATTATTTCAAGACACTCTTCGACTAATTTCGTGTCTTCTCTTCTTGCTGGTATACCGCTAATCGTTCAAGTGTATCACGGTATCTAAATAAACATTGAAGGTTTATTTAAACATAACAAGTTAGCTGTAATCTAAAATAAATTTTTCGAATATTTCACTAATTTATTTGCGTACTTACCGTTACAATAAATGTTCCAAATGATGACCCTGAACGTCGACGAATTTTCTGAAACGTCGACACAGATAACACTGCACAACGAATTTCATTCGGATCAATCGCAACGCAAGCTCTTCTTATACGATCCTTCATGTCTTCTCTTGTATCGGCATTTCGCTGTACATTGTGGTTTTAACTTTCCCCACAAATAAAAATCATAAGTGTTAAATTTGGGGAACGTGCGGCCCATCTGTTATTTCCTGACCGACCAATCCAACAATCTCCAAATTTTCTGTTTAAATTGTTTAGCAATTCAGTAATAATCCGTGCAGAATGAGCAGGACATCCATCTTGTTGGTACCACATTGATTGTCGTACGTTCAGTGGAAGATCTTCTAATAATAGTAGCAATATTTTTGTTAAAATCTGTGCATACTTACGACTATTTAATGATCCATCGATAAAATGAGGATCAATTTTATCATTAAGAATTCCGGCTCAGACGTTTATAGACCAAGGTCTCTGCCTGTCCACTTCTCTCATCCAATGGGTTTTCTAATAACCAATAGTGCATGTTGCGAAGATTTACTTGTTTGTAACTTCGTCAGTAAATAAGATTTTTAGTGATAAACATATCATCTTCTTCTAGTCTTTGTAGTGCTCATTCACAGAATTGTATACGATTTTGAAAATCATTGCCATGTCTTGATGAGGTGAGGTGAAGCAAAAATGGTCCTTTTGCTTCAACGTTGAATAACTCGATGAAAAAAAATCGTACGGAGCTTCGTAAAAAAGCAAATTAAAGGTAAAAATTCGAATGATGTAAATCGCATTTGTATACAGTTTTTATTCCACTCCGTGGAGCTTCGCAAATTTCATAAAAAATTTTGAGGTCTGATATATCTTCATTTATGTTTGTGTAACTTCATGAAATCTCCATGAGACCGTTTTTTTAAGTAGCGATTCGAAAAGTAGAGGTTTCTACCTGTAAAATGCTTTTTTAAATATCCCGATATGACAATTTTTGACGAAGTTATTGTATCTTGAAATTTGCCGATTTTTGCAGAGTGATCAGGTGTTGCGTTAATTTTGTTGCTCAGTGTATATATTATATATACATATATATATATAATATATGTATATATGTATATATATATT